TGCAGCCATCATTGTTGTTTGGCAGGCCCAGGCTAGATTTGAACCTGCCACCTTAGGTGTATGTGGCTGGCACCTTAGCCACTTGAGCCACAGGAACCGAGCCAGAGCAGGTGAAATTTATAAGACTTTAAATAAGTTTTGTACCGGGTCACTGAAGACCTCTCGTGTGCCCTGTTGCATTTTCCTATGGAAGCATCTGTTGCATTTTACATTCTACCCTCCTATTTATGCTACATGCAACCATAAAAGTAAAGCTTTCTAAGCCACAGATACAACCAAATTAAGCCTAAAGACCACAGCCTGATATTCAAACTTTTATGCCATCCACCATATGGTTTCTTCCACATGGAATAACTTCCCCTGATGTCTACCTCCCATAATCATGACCATCCAAGTACTCCTTGGAATAAAAAGATATGGACAGTAAAATCAATGAAGGCACTGTTACATCCCTGCAGTTCTCTGACCATGAGACACTCAAATACATCAATATATCCAAACTTAGGCATGAGTAAAACTTAATGAATAATTTTCCTAAAATAACATGTGAAAAACCAAAAAATGCATTTATTAAAAACTGCTCAAAATTATGGGAATGTTTACATTTTCATCTCTTCTGTATTAACTCTAACTCTTCATTTTAAAAAAGTTCACTACTTGAGGTGGTGCTTGTAGCTCAGTGGGTAGGGTGCAAGCCACATACAACCAAGGCAGAAGGGTTCAAACCCAGCCCAGGCCTGCTAAACAACAATGACAACTGCAACAAAAAAATAGCCAGGTGTTGTGGCAGGCGCCTATAGTCTCAGCTACTTGGGAAGCTGAGACAAGAGAATCGCTGAAGCCCAAGAGTTAGAGGCTGCCGTGAGCTTGCCATAGCACCCTACTGAGGGCAATAGAGTGAGATGCTGTCTCAAAAAAAAAAAAAAAAAGTTTCACCCCTTAGGAATTCTTTTAAAATCAAGATATAACTCCCCTTAGGTAGCCATTGTATAATATAGACTAAAAGTTGCACACACAAACATAAACCAGGAGTAGAATGCAGAGTTATTTAGCATAAAAATAGACAGGCCCAGCCACAGGTTGAAGTGGTTACTGCCAAAGTTAAGACATGCAATAGCTTACCAACCCAACAGACATATTCACAATCATGTTTGGTAGCAGCAGCTTTATCACTAAGCAAGTCTTAATTTCCCTTTGTAAAGCTACTTTAAAAATGATTAAAAACTGCTTCAGGGTCGGCACCTGTGGCTCAAGTGGCTAAGGCGCCAGCCACATACACCTAAGGTGGCGGGTTCAAATCCAGCCCGGGCCTGCCAAACAACAATGATGGCTGCAACCAAAAAATAGCCGGGTGTTGTGGCGGGAGCCTGTGGTCCCAGCTACTTGGGAGGCAGAGGCAGGAGACTCGCTTGAGCCCAGGAGTTGGAGGTTGCTGTGAGCTGTGATGCCACAGCACTCTGCCCAGGGTGACAGTTTGAGTCTCTGTCTCAAAAAAAAAAAAACAAACTGCTTCAGGAAAAGTTGAGCTCATTTAGGATACCCAATACAATGTACTAATGTACTTCAGTCAACTTAAATATCAATTAATAAACATCACTTATTACAGAAGAATGTCATACTTACAACAAAACCACAAACTCAGCTATTCCCCAAAAGAAATCTGTTATCAAAGATAATCTCCATGGAGACTGACTCCGGCTGTCCAATACTTGTCCTACAGACAAATAAAGAAACTTCAGTGAGTGCTACAAAAGCCCAACAGCCATTATAGTTAATTAGTTAGGTAACAATAACACTCAGGTTTCGACTTGTCCATTTGTTCTAAATGGTCAACCCCAGGAGAAATCTATTATGTGATCACCATTCTACGGGCTCAAAAAAGTAAAGCTCCACATTTCTTTAATATATCAAATGCTTACCTTCAGTTTGTAATTTTAGTGGGTGACTTCATTCTATTTAAATATTTTTTATGGTAATATATACATAAAAATTTACTGTTTTAATCATTAAATATACAGAACTTATTCATCTTCCCCAGCTGAAACTCTATTCTCATTAAACTCTAACTCCTCATTACCTCCCCTGCCCAGACCCTGGTGAGCACTATTCATCTGTCTTAATGAATCTGACTACTCTAGAAATCTTGAAAGGAATAGTGCAATTTTTGTCCTTTCATGACTTTTATGTTCCTTCATACATACTCTTACACTTAGCATATGTTCAAAGTTCTTCTATGTTATAATATGTGTCAAAATTTCTTTCCTCTTTTTTAAAGATGAAAAGTATTCCTTTGTAATATATATCACATTTTGTTTATCCACTCACATCTACCAATAGACATCTAGGTTGCTTATACTTTTTGGCTATTGTGAATAATGCTGCTATGAACATGGATGTACAAATAACCTCTTTATTCAACTATTTTTTTTAATTTGTTAATTACAGGAACACAGGTCAGTGACAAATTTCTATGTAAATCAACCCAAAGAAATTCTTTATATTCCAAAATCAGTTTGCATTCTAAAAGATATCAGCCTTCCTCATCTTCTCAAAATCTTTCATAGAATCATACCATCTATAGAAATCTGCATATGCCACAATCTTTCTTGGTTCAGCCTCAGTAAACTTATAGAAAGCTGCGATCCCAAAAAATACAGTGAATGCTCCAACAATATGAAACTGCAAGGGCCTGGCCAGGAGGCCACATATCTGAGTTTGGTTAAAGCACGGGAAGCCATGGTAGTTATTGTCCTTGATGGGAATGCCAACCTCAACACATCATTCCTTGCTGATGGAGAAACGACCTACCTTTTTTTTTTTTTTTTGAGACAGAGTCTCACTGTGTCGCCCACGGTAGAATGCCATGATGTCACACCTCTCAGCAACCTGAGAGGCTTAAGCAATTCTCCTGCCTCAGCCTCCCAAGTAGCTGGGGCTACAGGCACCCGCCACAAGGCCTGGCTATTTTTTTGTTGTTTTTTTACAGTTGTTTAGCTGGGTTCAAACCCGCCACCTTCAGTGTATGTGGCTGGTGCCATAACCACTGTGCTATGGGCACTGAGCCCCAACTACCTTCTTCAAGTATTTTGAGGAAACCAATGAGATGAGTGTACATAAAGAATTCTCACATCACTTCCATTTCCTAAAAGTGTTCAGAGCATTTCTTTTCACTTGCAAAGTCTCTTGCCTGAATAAAAAGATTGTTCATATATACTCTTACAGGCCTTTAGAATTCTTACAAATCAAAAGTATGCATGGTCTAAGTACCGAAGGGAATTTGGCTTGGGCTTCATTAAGATGACCACTATTCATTGTAACAGGATGTTCTTGATTTTAATAATAATTGATTCCGTAGGCAAAACTGTATATATTTTTTCAACTTTAACAGAAGCTACAAAATGAGTAGCATACCAGAGTTTCAGCCTGGCAGATCATGAGGTCAAAACATTTTGCGGGGAAAACAGCAACTACCTCTCCTCTCCATTTCAAGGGCTTCACCTCACTTGCCTCTATTCCCTCCACCAGGATTTACCTCCTTCCTTGACCACCTTACTTTCAGGTACCCACTTATCTATGCTCTCAATGAGTTATGGAGCAAAAAGGCTATACAAAGTCAAAGGATGTGTGATAGGCTTGGTTCTTCCCCTCACTGGCTCTGCTTCATTGGCTGCTGTGATCCTTTTCTGAGAAAAAAAATAGTCCAGGACTAGCCATCATATAGAATTGTTGGGGAAAAAATCATCTGACAGAGAAAAATATTTTGTCAAGTATGAGGTGTGGAAAAATACAGTCCTTCTAAGACGGATCTAACTGGACCTCATCAATCCTTCCTTTGTTTTTTGCACTTTCCCTACTACTTTCTGAAGGTAGACACCCCTTATCTCCAGAGAGAAATAAGATGCTTGAATGCAGCTGCGTTTCTCAACTATACTAGCGAGATAAACAACAAATAAAAGGTCCTAACCAGCTGTTTATGTGAATCAAGATAATGCATACACAACGATACACCACAAATATAAGGAATTATTCAACAATGCATAGACGCTTCTATCTTAATCACAAAGGATATAAAACAAACTAAAGTCTGTAAGTGCCCAGAACCAAGATGAAACTGATGCTGTTTAGTGTCCATGAACCTACTTGTTTTCAAAGATTTTTAAGTGGGAGATGGGGAAAGGAGATTTTGAAAGCAGCAAAGAAATGCAAAGGGCAATCAGCCACAAGACTTCTGATTACCTTACTCATCTCTGAAAATAAACAGGTGATTCAAAAGCAACCACTGTACCAAGGGATCTCACCTGAGTCAAACAAGTGGGCAGGCATTTCTGGCATCGATCTGACCCATTCATGTTGCCTCTTTCTGTCATTTTCTTTGTCAAGTCACAGAATTAAGTCGCTCTTGGACTCTCTATTCCAGTAATAACTAACTTGCTCCTAAAGGGAATGGTACTTCTTCCTGTGTCCCTTAAAATTCGGGCACAAAGTTGCACGTATGACTTGTTACCCTCTCCTGAGGAAAAAGCACACCCCCAGCTTTCCTCCAACTTGCGCGACCTTTTTAAACGTCACAGAAGGAAGCAGTACACAAAGGACGCTGACGCCGCCCTCCCGGGGTTTGAATCCCGACTCGGCCAATATCGGTCGCTTGTCTATCACCCTTCCGATCCCTGTGAGTCGCCATCCGTAAAACAGGGATAATAAAATACGACCTGAACAGGACTGTTATAAAGACTGAAAGACACAAGTGAATAACGCTGTAACAATGCGCGAGGCACAAGAGCTAAGTACTCAGTGTCGACGTCCATGTCTTTACTAGTTAAGGATGCCGACGCCGGAGAGGAAAGACCACTTTCACAAATCTAGTCAGAAACCGGCTGTACCAGCGCAAGGCCGGCGGGAACCCGGCGCGGTCCTCACCCAGGGGGCCTCGGCGCCCGACAGCCGACGGCGCAGGGACCATCGGCTGTGCGCCGAAAGCCGGAGCGAGTTCGCAGCCGGCTCCGCCCGGCCGCGGGGCGCCGGGCCCAGCGAGCGAGAATGGAAGAAACCCGGGGTTGGGCTTCCAGGTCAGCTGTCGCCGCCGCAGCCCCTCCAACTCACCATTCGAGATGTAAACCATCTTGCCCTGTTTCCCCGCTTCCGAGTGACTGGAGCGCCTGGCCCCGCTGGGTTTCCGTAGCCGCCTCCGCGCCCCGCCCTCCAAACGCCACAGTCCACGATTAGACAAAACCGTGACGGAGGAGGGAGGTGGGCAGAGCCCATTGGCTGCTGGAAGAGGCACCGCCCCTACGGGCATTTTGCTTCGTCACCCCGGCGACTTCCGGTAAGGTGGAGGCCGTAGAGAAGGCCACCGGATATGACGTTAGGGGTCGTCCTGTAAACCTCGCGGTTTCCTGTCTTCTGGATCTCATCTTAAGGTGTTTGCACTGCCAGTCGAGGCGGGGCTGCTAGAGATAGGCGAGGCTGCCGCGTGTGAAGTGGCTTGAAGAACAGCTGTTGGAAACGCCTCAGAATTTTCCCTACGCTTGAAAGTTGAAGGTGTTGAGATTGTGAGATTGGGTAGGAGGGTAGTGCCCTGAGTGGTAACTATACATACAGAACTGTCTGGCGGCGCCTGTGGCTTGAGGAGTAGGGTGCCAGCCGCATATAACGCAGGTGGCGTTGTTCAAGCCCGGCCCCAGCCAAAGCTGCAAAAAACAAAACAAACAAACAAAAAAACTGTATTGTCACTCCTTAGGGAATATACTGCCAGGCTCCTCATAGATGTACTTATTCTCTTTTAAATGTTATAGCTGCTCAGTGCTCACCAAAAGTGGGGTTTTCTTAGCTCTTGTGAAGCAACTGTGACAAGTAAGTTTAACTGTAGGACAAGACCTTTCTCTGCTTGTTGCTAATTGATGGCTACTGTTTATCAGCATGGTAGGGGTAACAGATGACTTAGAACAGCGGTCTCCAACTTTTTTGGCACCTAAGACTAGTTTCGTGGAAGACAGTTTTTCCTCCCACCCACTGCTCACCTCCTGTTATGTGGCCCGGTTCCTAACAGGCCTTTTTGTTCCTTTTTGGCACCAGGGACCGGTTTAATGGAAAATAATTTTTCCACAGGTTGGGGGTGGAGGGTGGAGGATGGGATAAGAAGCCGAGATCACGCAGTGAGGCTCTACAGTGCCCTCTTCCCCTAAACACACACGCCTCGCCTCGGGGTTGGGAGACCCAGAATTAGGAGACATGTCTGAGGTATTCACTAAATAGGAACCACACGTACCATGGGTATTTACTTTGCTCCAGCCCACTGGGCTCCTTCTGCTCCTTGAGCATGGCTATTTCATTCCTGTCATAGAACTTTCTATTTGGTAGTTCTTAGGTGGAGTCCTAATGGCTGTTTCCTTTTTTCCAGTTCTCAAGCCATTTGTTATCTTGAAAAGATTCCTGATTACCTTCCCGAACATTAAAATTACGTTTTGTAAATAATCATATTTTGTATTTTAACAGCATTAGTCAAGATTTTATGTTCTAATATCTATAATTGACACAAATTTAATTTCATGTTGTTGGGGAGGGTGCCTTTTTTCCCAGGAGAGTACATAAGAGAAGACAGCATTCTTCACCTCATTTGCAAGTTTTTGCAGCACAATCCTAAAGGATCATTTTTGCAAAATATTGGGGGAGTTATTAATTTTTCCTAGACCATGCCACTGTCATTTTAACTTTTTCTTATTGCTAAAAATTATTCAAATAAAATCAACAGTAATTAAATGTCAGGAAAATTATTCACATAGTATACTTGAGGTGTTATTAAAGATAGTGTTATAAAATCCAAAGAAGGCTGGGCACCTGTGGCTCAAGTGGCTAAGGTGCTAGCCACATACACCTAAGGTGGCAGGTTCAAATCCAGCCCGGCCTGCCAAAACAACAATGACGGCTGCAACCAAAAAAATAAATAGCTGGGCATTGTGGTGGGAGCTTGTGGTCCCAGCTCCTTGGGAGGCGGAGGCAGGAGACTCGCTTGAGTCCAGGAGTTGGAGGTTGCTGTGAGCTGTGATGCCATAGCACTCTACCCAGGGGGATAGCTTGAGGCTCTGTCTCAAAAAAAAAAAAGAAA